ACCTTTTGTTTCTTTGAATCTTTGGCTTTTGATGCAGCACCCAATAGATTTCTCCTACTGGAGGGAGAAATTGATTGATTGATTGATTGATTGATTGATTGATTGATTGACTGACTGACTGACTGACTGACGTTAGTTCTCCTTGCTCAGTGACTGTAAGACTTCTCCACTTCTTGAAAACAATAACATCTTTAGATATGGCACAGGCTAAATATGATGTAGGATCCTGATGGTATAGACAACATTGCTGATTTGTTCAAGGCCTATAGCCACTTTGGATTATAATACAAATCCCAGTGGATCAGGCCAATATCCCATTCATGGTTACAAACAGAGAATGAAGGCAACAGCTGTCTCTTACTGCTATTTCCCAGCTCAGCTTTAAAAGCCTCTAAAACACACAGTAAGCATTTAGAGCTCCTGTAATCAATATACTGTTGGTATATTGATTACAATACTGATCCTATGCCTGTAGGCTTACGCCTAAGAAGAATGGCATAAAATGTAATTTTATAGCTCTCAGATCCTTCACAAATATGCCCACAGTGAAAGGATGTGATATAATTTGCTCATTGTCAGCCACAGATAATTAATATAGTCATGGCTCACCGTTGTATACATGGTCATATCTGGTCAATGTTCTGTAAAGGTGACGACAATGATGTTATAGATGTATAAATAATGGGAAAGAAGGCTGAAGACAATTTAATTCTTATGTCTGAATAATTACTTTGTGGAAAAAAGATGAGAATTTAAAAACTAATTGCATATTCTATTAGAAAAAAAAGTATTATAAAATATTGTTGGTCACATAGTCAGCCAGATGTTTAGACTGGATTTGGCATTTTTATCCACCTATCGAGTCCTTCCCAAGGACCTGGGATAAGCCAATGGTGTTGTCTGATGGTGTCTGGTGGTGATCGTCACAGGATGTAAACTGCTCCAAGTAAAGCTGCCTTTTGCAACTGACGGATGGTGATTTTGTCAATGCCGATGGTCTTCAAGTGGTACTCCAGATGTTTTGGTATTACACCCAAGGCACTTATTACTATTGGTACTATCTTTGCTATTATTATTATTGTTATTATTGTTATTGTTATTCAATAATTGTGAATTATGGTGAATTATGACAGCTACATACTTGTAGGTAAAATCTCACTGAAATAGTATGCTTCAGGATCAGGCCTTGCTTCTTTTCATTGCAACAGAGATATATTCTGAAATGACATCCTTGTTGTACTAATATTAATGTGTCACAACTGTCCCTGGGAAAGTAATTTGAGACCTACGGGTCACGAACTGTTAGCAAGAAGGAATATTTTCTTTAAGGTAATCTAGGTGCTATTATAGTTTTTAAAATGACTTCGAAGACAACCCATGGTAAGTGTGTCTCTAAAATGTTTCCACAAATTATTTTGGCAAAAGAAAGAAGGTTAAGGATATCTTTTGAAAATGTGGTGAGAATTCTCAGTCCCTCTATTTGGTCAAGACAACTCAAAAACATGGGGGGAAAGTATAGGAGAAGCCCTCCAATTGGAGATCTGTAGACTCCCGGTTTGTTAAGTGCAATGTTTAATGCTAGGGAAGGCAGGGAGTGGTAACAAGATATAAACTCATGTCAAGGCTTTAGAGCTGATACTGTTATAGAATGTATATGTTCTAATGTTTCGTGCAGAAACAGTGTTGCTTCCAGGCTAGGTTGGCTCTAATTTAGGTGTGACTCAAGGTATTTCCAACTACTCTTAAATGTTGTCCTGTTAGTACCACAACCCATCACAATCTGAATCCTGCCTACACAAATGGTAAGCAGTACAATGATTCATTCATTCTTCATGACAGATTCTTATGTAGTCAAAATAGCATGATTTATGCCTAAGAGAAAAGAATCTGCATACTTCTGGTAATTTCAGGAGCTGCGGAAGAAAACAAGAATATGTTGGGGGAAAATTCTGAAATTGAACTGTCAGAAACTCTAGGAAACAATCCAATAAAAACTGCATGATTGTAGGCCGAGTACAGTAACTGGAGAAGAATAATGTGAAAAAAAGATAGGTTGAAAAAGGGGAAGAAGAATATGCTACTCTGGAAAAGGGCATGTGTGGTATTCTGAACAAAATAACAGATCAAATTAGTACATGTAAGATATGCAGAGAATTTAAGGAATTGGGCTTGATTATCAGACAAATTGTATGTAAACAGAGAGAATGGGAAGTGTAGTATCCTTCACTATTCTACACACACAAGGCACTTTACAACATGGCATAGCAAAAAAAGAAACATTACATTGACAGTTGTTTTTCTTCTTTAACTGTATTAAATCTTCAGGACCACTGGCTGCCTTGGGATCTAGGTAGGTTAACCATAAATAAATAAATAAATAAATAAACAAACAAATAAATAAATAAATAAATTTTCAAATTTATATATGCTGCCCATATCACTGTACAAGTGACTCTAGGCCCTCTAAGTTAAAAAAGAATTCCAATCTTTGTGAAGCTAAGACAGTTGTAAGCACTAGGGCTTTGCTCCAGCTTGGCACAAAACCAAGGAATGGAGCAATCCAAGATGTTTTGAACTCATGGAAGATGAGATTGTCATTTCATGTCTACAAAATCCTCATTGAATCCTCACTTCTGAAATGTAGTTTGGGAATTCAGAATGCTGGAAAGACTGGCTCATGCCAAGACAATCAATCAATATTAATATCTTTGGGCACTTGCTTTAGAGTGTCTTGACTGGAGAGGCATGAGGAATACTGGAGATTTTGGAGCTGATTTTGAGGATGCATACAGTCATGAGGAAGGAAAGGAGAGGATCCAATTGTTATGCGTGACAAATTTTTCTAAATAAAGAGATAAATTGGATCTTTGCGCACCCATTATCATTAAATGATGAATTTATTTATTTTGTTTTTCTGATAGCTATTTTGAAATACATTTTGCTAAAAGCCTTTTTTGAGTTGTTATCAAACAATCATATTGCTTTAAAATAGAAGTAAATAAAATTAATCCTCTATATCCAACTGAGCTAAACCTCTTAATCCTCATTATAATTTCTGTGACTGTAATCCTTGCCCAAAATTCATGTCTTTGGAAGATATACCCTCTTTCATTATAGTGTGCTTTTTAAACTTATATGTAGCATTCAGACATAATTCTTCTAATTTGTCAGAATTATATCATGTCTTTCCTCCAGAAGCTCAAGACCATATACATGGCACACCCTCCTTGTTTTTTTCCTTCCTATAATATCAACCATGTCAGGTTCTGATTAGCCCAAGGTCACTAGATGGGTTTCCATAGCTGGAACCCAACACCTTAACCACTACATCATACTGATTCCTTTCAATATCTACAGTCTCCCCCCGCCCCCCCCCAATCCACTATAGTTCATGGTTAGTCTCTGCAATACTAAGGACAAGGAGTATGCTTTTAAAAAAAAAAATGTTATTAACTTCTCATTACAAGTTACAAATTATCATAAAGCCACAAAGCGGAAGCATTTTTAATATTTTTCATATTTTATATGAAATATTTCACATAATCTGTATTTCATATTTTAAGAAAAGCCTTCTAGATCTTTTTTAAGAGGCTAAATGAAAGTTGTCCATATATTGCTGGATTGCTTTCAATAAACATGTTACAGATACTTCTTATATGAGTAAATAGCATGGGAACTACGACATTGAGGCTTCTACGTTAACAAGCAAATTCAGCTTTTGCTCAAGCTTTTGCTTTAGGCTTGTCAATCATGCTCAGATCTATTTCCCTCTTAAAGTATATAAGAATGCATAAACAATAACGTGAGTATAAATTTAGTATAACATGCCATGACAACATGCTGCCATTCGATGCAATCATTAGATTATAGGAAAACATTGTTTAGAGATGTGTCAGAATTCAAGGGTCAGTCCTAGATGTGAAATATAGCCCTCTTTCTAATTACATGTTTGTTAGTACAATCATAAAATATGTAAATGATGGCTTATAATACAGGCAATACATTGATACATTCTTTTAAAGCTGTCACAATGGTTTTGCTATATCCAATTTCTAATTGAGCATCTATATAAAATTCTGCTGATTTGTAAATAGAATTTTATCATTCCCATGTAATTTATAGGTAGTGTTTTAGATTATTTGCATATCAAGTGGTTACATGCACACCGTGGTAAAATATGGTAGATGGAATTGCCCTTACCCACTTAATGAACACTGTTGCTGTATAAACCAACTATTCTTTGCAATAAGGAAAATCAAAACAAGATGAAATATCTCTACACATAGTTTTGTTCATGGCATTCCTTATATCTGAAAAGGTGGAAGAATTATTTGGAAGATAAGAAATTGAAGGTGAATATTCAGAAGCTTAAAAAGTGAATGGATAAGATATTTATCTGGATGTAGCATTAATTTTAAATTTCCAATATTACATATATTGGTGATATTACCTTTAACAATATGGAAATCTATCTATATACAGTAGGTGCAGTAGTTATCTGTATGGATAGCAGAGGTAGTCCTTGTTTAGCAACTACAATTGGGACTGGCAACTTGGTTATTAAGCAAAGTGATCACTAAGTGAAACCACGACTGTGCTTATGATCTTACTTCAGCTTTTCTTTGCTTTACAGACCTGCAAATGTCATAAATGTGAGGATCGGTTGTAAAGTTACTTTTTCATCACTGCTGTAACTGTGAACAGTCACTAAATGAGGCAGTTACTAAATGAGGACTACCTGTAGTACCAATTAATGTAATACTGGAATCTTAAGCCAAGACTATTACTCAAAGCTAAACTTATATAATAAATAGTCCAGCACATATTAAATATATCAGATCAATAGCACAGGCACACACATATAGATGGACACACATTTGCTTTTTTCAAAACTTTTTAACAAAATGACCACGTGAATTTTGACACATCTCTGGTTCATGCATGGCAAGCCAAGATAGAAAAAGATCAATTTATGAAGCATTCCTGTGAACGTACATCTATTAGGAAGTGCTGCCACTCTTGACCATGGTTAAGTCTACTGATGACTTACTGTTGGTTTCAAGACTTTCACAAAGCTCCGTTTTGACCTCGCCATTTGGTCTGTCATTTCCCTTTTGGATCAGCTTGCTTTGCATGGTGGCTGCAGTAACAACAGCCTTGAAACTCCTCTTCCTTTTTTGCACATTTTGTTCTGGATGAAAAATGATAATATAAACCTTGGGGATGTAGAGCATGCCCAAAGAGACAGAAGCACTTAAACTTAAGGACACTGTAAGAGTTGTTGTCTGGATGTACATCTAGGAAAGATTAAAAAACAATAGGGTCAGTTAAGCTTGTGAAAAATACTACTGTAAATATACTGGACAGCTTTATAATCCTCCACACTGCATCTTATTGGGAACATGGGACTTTTAATCTGAGAGAGACTGTATAAGAGAGAGTCAAGTGGCATAGTAGTTAGTGTGACCTGTTAGAACCAGAAACTCCCAGGTTCAAATTCTTACAAAGCACCTTGGGTGTACTTAGTTCAGCTATTTCTTTCAATTTTCCTATATGTTATTGCTGTTGTGCAAAAGTGAGGAGGATAAATGTCGTGCACATAGGCCGTCTTCAGCTTTCGGAAGAAAAGACAGATAAAATACTTCTTACATACAAGGTAAATTATAAGAATAAACAAATATATAACTTCCACTTTGTAATTAGTAAACATAACTATACATTATACTTCATTCTTTCTTTTGGTATACAGGAATAAAGTTATTCATTAAAAATCAATATACTTGAAGGCAGAAATAGATTGAAGCAGTGACATTCATTCACGTATACCGGTAGGGTGCTGCATTCCAGTCTGTAGTAAATTGCTTCTTACTAATAAGTGCATGAGAGAATATTAACATTTACTTAGAAACAATCAGGATAATGTAACTACTTCATTTTCATATCTGATTTGATTAACATACCTGACAATATGGTGGGACTGGTGTAATTATTCACTAAACTGAAATTTCCAGGGCAATCTGTCACTTGGTAATGCACAATTAGATAAAAGTAATGTTTTGGTGCAGTGTGTTCAATATTTAGTTTGAAATATGGCATGATGTATTCCTTGAATTCTAGAACTACCAGAAAATGAATATCTCCCCACCAGAACCAAAGCTATCATTTTCAAACAACATTTCTAATAGAGATATCATAGCAGACATTTTCAGAAACTATAAGCACTACAGACTGGAAGTAAGAATAGGTTTCTGTGAAAAAACAATTTGGAATAAATCTTGTTTATAGCAGAGAAGTGAATTTCTCCTCACAACATATTGCCTTCACCTACTCTGAGAAATGGTAACTCTTTTGCTGACAGCAGATGTTTCTTTCTGTACCTGCAGAAGGAAATAATCATTAGTGCTACCTTGATTTGAAATGTTGCATGTACGTATTTGTGTGTGTAGGTTTTAAGACTGAGACAGCCCCATTCTGATATAGGAGTTATTCCAAAGCCATAAACGCCATCCATCACCACGTTTCTCATCCTGTATTTCTAGCTGACTAGCATCTCGTACAACCATTACTAGAATAAAGCTTTACATCACGGATCATTTACAAGTAAAGCAATTTTAACTACGATCCAGTTTTGCAATGTTATTCAAGCAAGAGATGATAAAATGTTTTCTGATAGCTTGGAATAACTTGAGAAGGTTTTCTTTCTAATTCTATATGCCCCGTGATTGAATTGTTAAGAACCATTTTATGTCTTTATTGATAAAACATCCTGATGTTTCATCTTGTCTGCTGTTTTATGGCATAGCTCATACGTTCACATTAATCCAAATTATGTTATCAAATATTCTCAGTAATAATGCTTTTCAAATCAAATCTTTATGATGCTAGCAATTCTCTATAAATTAGGTTGTAACCAATAACAGAAGTTGACAAATAGGGATTTATCTGGCTGTAATAGCAGTATATTATTAATGTTCTCATTTACAAATACATTCCTTTGGATGTCCAAATTGAATAATAGGGTCAATTCAATATGAATTTCCATATCCATTTTGGAAAAAAAAGCATTTGTGCACAGCCACAGAAATGTTCATGTCATCCAAGCTGATTTGGGGATAGCTGACTCAAAGTTTCAAAATAATTCCTTGATTCAATTTGAAAACTCAGTTCATCCAAGAGATTTAACTTATTTGTCTTCAAATAAATGCTTCCACAGCCCAGTTTTAAGTAAAATGTTGGAATAGAGCTGGAAATAAAAAAGACTTGGTAAACTTAAATGGTCACTGTTCATTATGTACCTTATCTGGTAGAAACATTTTTTCATACATGCTTGTTCTAGAAATCTGTTTTCTTAGTATTTGAATTTGTATCCTCTTTAATTATTTTCTACCAGCCAGAAAACACCAAAACATTGTTTTATGCTTTTTAATTTCTTTCTGTATTTAAGTAGGTGAGTTTTGGATCCTCCCCCCCCCCCCCCCCCC